TTTTTTCTCTGTGATTTTGACATGTGAATTTCTTTTGTAGTTTCTGATTCTTGTGTGAGACTCAAGCCTTCAAGTTTAGGTCTGCTTCTCTTTGTGAACTTTATGTGTCTTTGTGGTTTACTTTCTGGATATGAAAAGCTACTTCCTCTAAGCTTCTGGTTCTCTCTTTTTATTTCATATTGGAGTGGCCGATTGCTTTTGTTTTCAGGAGTTCCCACAGAGGCCCAAGTCAGATGAGGATCAGATGCTCTCAGGCTTTCTCCTGAGGTCTGGATCCCTCCAGGAAAGATTTTGGCCTCAGGAATTTGGGGTTGGGCTGGCCTGGGAGCTGGACCCAGGAAAGATGCTGGTCTAGGGCAGCTGGTGGCCCTGCCACCCAGAGATGCAAAGGAAAATGGGGGTGGGAAGCGGCTTCAAGGGCTCCTGGGGATTGCACTGAGGAGCTGGGTTGGTCTGGGTTTAAAAGATCAGGAAAAGGAAAGGTCAGCTCCAGGGTCCAGGAAAGAGGCTGGCCCAGAGAACAGAGGAAGGCGAGGGCGGGGCCAGTCCTAGAGTGCTCCTGGGGACCTGAGAAGGAACTGAATTGGTCTGGATGCAAAGGATCAGGAAGCAGTGGTGGTTCCCCAGGTGTCTGGGGCACCAAGACAAGGAATGGGTCAGGACCCAGGCTAAGAGGAGAGACCTGTGGGGGAGATGGGAGCGTGAATGAGGCTGGGGGAGTCAAGGCTCGGAGGGCGCGATCGACTTACCCCACAGAGAGGCCTGTATGTCGGAGAGAGGCCTGCGGGTGGTGCAGGCCCAGGGAAGCAGAGGCATTTTGCCTTTTATATGGTCATGAGCCTATGGGGGCCAAGGGGTGGAATGCAGTTGTTTGAAGGACAATGTCCCCCATAGGCTCCGAGTATTTGGAAATTTTGTCCCCAGTTGGTGGCACTGTTTGGGGAAGTTTTAGGAGGTGCAGCCTTGCTGGAGAAAGCAGGTCATTATGGGCAGACTTTAAGAGTTCTTAAGTCTTGTCAGATTTCTAGTCACTCTCTGCTACCTGTGCCTCCTTGAAGATGTCATTGATTGGCTTTCAATTCTGGCCACCTTCTTCCACCATGCCTCCCCTGCCATTATGGACCCTTGCCTCTGGAATTGTAAGCTAAACAGATTTCTTCTACGAGTTGCTTTTGTCTTATCACAGAAACAGAAATATAAGTAATAAAAAGACCAAATCCCTTCAAAACTTGAACATTTTAAGGGGACATTTCAGGCCAAACTATAATATTCGTTGTTCACTTCATCAAAGTTATTACTGTGGTATTTTAGCTGTATTTAAATGTTCCTGGATAGTTGAAATTATATGGACTCTAAAATTTTGCATCGCAGTTCTAAAGATTTATTTTTATTTATGTGTATTATGTGTATATGTCGCGTTCATGCAGATGCCGAAAGAAGGCATCAGATGCCCTGGCGCTGGAGTTACAGGTGGTTGTGAGCTTCTTAATGTGGGCACTGGGAACTGAACTTGGGTCTTCTGCAAGTGCTCTTAACCACTGAGCCATCTCTTTAGCACTATGTCATGGTTTTAGTTATATTAGTTAATGTTTTGTGAACATTCTATCTCTTCTATCATGTGGACATTTTACATTTTAATATTTTATTCATTTTAGAAGACAAGCTTCCATCTCCTTTAAATACTGATTCTCTTACAGGTTATGAATGCACTAATTCTTGGCATATCTTTGTATGGGTTCATGAACAATGTGTACTTTCTCTTCCCTACTCCTTGAATCTAGGCCAAAGTCCAGCCCCTGTGAGTGGACAATTCATGTAGGTGTTGTAGTTTGTAGGTCAACTTAGATCCATATTGTCTAAATGCAGTTATTGCATTTTAATGCAATTTTCTTGGCATGGCATTTGGTTTGTCCAGGCTCCATTGCAAAGTGCTTTCAACCAACTAAGTGGACATCTAAAAATGTAGTAAAGGGCAGACAAGATGACTCAGGGAGTAAAGGTACTTCCAAGCCTGAAAACCTGAGTTTGATCCCAAGACCCATATGGTAGAAGGAGAGAACCAATTCCCGAAAGTTGTCCTCTCACCTCCATACATGTGACATACATGTGCCATGGTGCACACACCTATACTCTCTGCCACATAAATGTAATTTAAAAAATTAAAAATGCAGCAAAAAGAAAACAGAAGAAGCCAGGTTGTGGAAATGGAGCAGCTCCCACCCTCGTCACTGCGGCTTCCTGAGTCAGGGCCATCTGATCTTCACTGTTTTCTCTGCTTGTAAAGTGAAACATACTCTTCAGGACAATTAAACAGTATTGAAACATGTCCCAGAAAGAACATCTTCCATGGTCTCACTGATTAGAGACAACTGATTACAGCTTCAAGCACTATTCGTCCAGACTTCTTCTGTAAATATTAGGATTTACTTATTAAAAATTTAATAAATATTCTGCAACCTTCTTCACTGAGAAGAATGTTTTATATGTGTAGACCTCTCATTTTTATAACATAGCATAAGATCACACTGAATAGATACTGTAGTTTATTTAAGGAAGTTTATTGATGAAAGAAAATAGATACTATAGTTTATTTAAAGAAGTTTATTGATGAAAGACTCTATCGTTCAATATATTGTTTGGGATGGATATATATATATAAATCTCAAATACTTAAAGGATTTTCTACAAAGTTGACTTCTATACTATGAATTATGAATATGAGAGTTAACAGGAAAAATGTTTATTTACTTATGGTTTATTGGTTTGGGGATGGAACACAAGGCCTTCCACATGTTGGGTAAGTGTTCTACCACTGAGTTACATTCTCAGCCCTAGAAAATGCAATTTAAAAATTTTTATTAAAATCTTCTTTAAAAGCCTTTAGGCTTTAAGAGTCACCCTACTGTTGCTTATGTAAGTCAAGTGTTTCAGCAAGAACTCTAGAGGCTCCCTGAGAATTCAGTTTTCCTGTATCTTCACTGCCACACAGGCCAGCACTATAATGGACATAACATAGAAAAGTGGTTGTTGAGTTAACTTCATTTGTTGTTAATAAACTGGAGGTGAGGATTGTTGTAATAACATCTTTGTTATGTGAATAGAAAATGTCTTTTTGGGGGGTCTTTTGGAGATAGGCTCTCCTTGTAGCCCGAGCTGGCCTGGAACTCACTATGTAGACCAGGCTGGCCTTGAACTCACAGAGATCTACCTGCTTCTACCTCCCGAGTGTGCTACCATACCTGGTGCAGAAAATGTCTTTAAAGACAGTTTTATTGGTGATTCAGCAATGTGGCAACTGTTAGTATTAACCTTTAAACTGACTGCATCAAAAAGCTGATTTTATCATATTGGGCAATTGCTACATTTATTTTTATTATTCTTAAAGATATATAGTTGGTAGATGGTATAAAAATTATAGATGAATCAAAAAGGAAAAGGAGAAAAAGGTGTTAGGTCCACTCTACATAGACAACCCTGTGGATCTCTGCAGTCATCCTGGGAACGTTGACTCTTGACAGAGGATTGTAGAGGACTGTGTCTACTCTATACTCAATGAATTACCCAGTTTCCTCAAATCACTTCTCTCTCATTTATGGATAGGAGTTGTCTAGCTGTAAAAGCAATCTTCATACACTGATGCTATCTTGGCTCATCTTTCTTTCTCTCCCTCTCTAGTTCTCTTTGCCATGAAGGAGGATAATGAGAAGGTGCCTACTTTGCTAACGGACTACATTTTAAAAGGTGAGAGCAGCTACCATCTTCCTGCGGCTCCTGTTCCAAAAGTGGAGCTCACAGAAGCCCTCACAGAGCCCTGGCCAAGCAGGCAGTGGCCATGGAAGCCACATGGGCATTGTCATGGCTTCACAGTAGTGGGTATCACTAGCACCCCAAGTCACCAACAGAACCCCAGCAAAGTACTTGCCATGAAAATCTTGTGGACTTTGGGCCATGTTGTATTTAGTTGGGAAAAGCAAAGCCTGAAAATAACTTAATACTGTTTAAGTACTTAAAGTACTTAAGTGCCCAGTTGAAAGGAAAATGAAGTCATAATGAGGTGTACACTTCCATAATCTTTTCTGAATGGGGTCAGTGCTGGGGATTGAACCCAGGGCTTCACACATACCAGGCAAGTGTTCTACCCATTGCTCCAGCTCCAGCCCCGAAACTTTTTAAACCTTTTATGGAGGTTTTCAATGCATGTATCAGTAGGGACAATGGTTCTTCCAATCCAACTTCCCTGACTCACAGCAAATCTTATTTTATTTACCCTCTGATCAATGATACTAGTTTGAAGATAGCTGTCAACATGTTTGTTTGTTTTTTTCATCCACAAATGCTTCAGTATACATTTCTAAAATCTAGAAATGCTTTGGAAAAACATAGCCATAGTACTATTATCACAACTAAAAAGTTAGGGCTGGGATGTAGCTCAGTGATAGTGCTGGGCTAGCATGTATATGGGCCTGGGTCCTAGTCCCAGAACTGCAGAAAGTGTGTCGCAGGGGGTGGGGGTGGGGTTACAACCACAAAATGAAACATTTTGTAATATTGCTGATGACTTACTCAGTATTCAGATAGTCTTGATTTTGCCACACAATGTTTTCCAGTTTATTTGCTTATATCAAGATCAGATGAAGATCTATTCATTGCAATTTGATATATCTCCTAGCTTGCTCTCTCTGTCTCTCTGTCTTTGTCTTTCTGTCTCTCTCAAAGCCTGGGATGACCTTGAATTTTTTATGTAGCTGAGGATGACCTTTAATTCTTGATCTTCCTGCCTTCACCTCCCAAGTGCTGTGGTCACCACCATGCCCAGTTGATAATACATCTTTTATTTTTTGTCTTCTTTTGTTGTTGTTGTCTTTTTGAGACAGGGTTTTCCTGTAGCACCAGCTGACCTGGAACTCAATATGTAGACCAGGCTGGTCTTGAACTCAAAGAGATCTGCCTGCCTCTGCCTCCTAAGTGCTGGGATTAAAGGCATCTGCCACCATGCCTAGCAACAAAAAAAACCACATATAGCTTTCCTTTTCCTTCTTCTCCATTCTTTGAAATTCCTTTGATAGAGAAATTGAAGAATTTTGCCATCCTGGATTCTTCCTAATTTCAGCCCCAAGGTATAATTTAATAATTCTTCTGTCTTCTTTATTTTCTGTTGACTGATGGAACAGAAGGCTTGATCAAATCTAGCATCAAGTATTTTGCTAAACACTGCATCATGGATGGCCATAGACTTGTGTAAGGAGCCATATGTTGCCTGGTTGTCTTGTTGTTTGTTACATTGATGATCATGCATTGTCTAGATCCATTGTTTTATGAGTTTCTGCTTCACGTTCACACATATAGCTCTTCAGCGTTTCAGAAGGTTTATGGAACCCAGTTATGAAATGTCAAACTACTCTTTCTATAAGAATCAGGGAGCTTAATCTTAAATTTCAACAGGAAGAATTTAGTTTAAACATTAGGAGAACTTGTGACTTAAAATTTTTTAAAGAATGGCATATTTTTCAAAGAAGTTTTAAGAAATGGATTATATAAGGTTGATGAGCTGAAGGCTAGACTGTGACCCACTGAAAAGTCAGTGAATTTATAAAAGCAGTTAATATTTACTGAACACATTCTCGTATCTTTTTGCAACCCTGTGGGTAGCTCAGGACATCCTATTGTGTGAGGGAAGAACAAGCTTGGGTAGGTGAAGGAACTTCCCTAAAGTCACAGTTAGTAATGGTCATATCTAGGATTTGGACCCACGGGCTCTGGACACTGCAATGCCTGATCATTGTATCAAACAGGACTGTCATCTTCTCCCTGCTCCTGAAAGGAAGACTCAGGGCTATGGTCACTGCCTGGTCCTCAGTGGTGGCTCTTTGCCCAGGAGTTGGTGTGGATACTGTGTGCCTGACCTCTCTCCTCCCCTCTTCTCGTTTCAGTGCTCTGTCCGACCTAATCTTGCCTTTGGAGCAGACTTGCTGCAGGAGGTCACTGAGCAAGAGTCATTCCATCACAGGGACTGCATGACACCACGTAACCTCCGGCGTGTATTTAAATGTGTATAGCTTAACCTGGATTAAACATGAGCAATTGCTCAGGGTCCTTTGCTGTTGGCTTCTAGTGCTAGTAATCATTGGATGCATGATCGGGCGCAGGGCCGGTGACACTTGCCTCCTCTCCTCCTGTGCTGGGGAAGGCACGTGCCCTCACCACTCATTATGTAGTCTGGCTCCAGCCCTCAAAACCAGCTTATACTCTAAGACTAATTTTGAAATAAACTTTCATTTAATTAATATTCTTCATGTGTTTGGAGTGTGGTATCTTATGGCTTTCTGTTCCAAGCCCTCTGGTGAAAGGATGTGTGGCTGTCCTAACATGCTGGCCTGTGGTCCATGGCATCAGTGCTCTATGGTGGATCCTGATGGGATTGTGAGATGTGGTGAGCCTACTTATGCTACAGACAGAAGGAGGGTATCCACAGATGCCTAAGTTTTGCTCTTGGCTGCACTGTGTGTAGTAGAAACTAACTGGTCAGAGGGGTACCAGAGTAGGGGGGGTATAGAGAACCCCAGGAACGAGCCAGTTGGCTACACTGCCTCCCATTGGGATGCCAGGTTGGATTTTGGAGGGTTTGGGGTTCAGGGACTGGAGGGAGGGAACTCTGTTGACATCAGCCACGTCTGAGACTGTATCTTCTTCCTTCACTGATACCTTGTCTGCCCTCAGTGGTCCCTAGGAACAGTGTTCTGTAACTTTGCTCATCCTCCCTGCCAGTCCTGCAGCACTGAGGTCCAGCAACACTGACTCCTACATGTAGTCTCCAGCTTAATAGCAGGCAGCTGTCAGCTTCAACTGACCAGCAGGTGCGTGCTGCCCTCTTATCTTGGATGCTGACTCTGCATTATGGGATGGTCACTATGTGCCTGTCACCAGCCCTATCACTCTCTACACATTGTCTCGCATCACAGCAATCATGGGCCACAAACAGGTATTCATATCTTCTGGATTTTCCAGAGAAGGGAGCCATGAAGTAGAGATGGTCAACAATTGGCTGAAAGCTACTGAGGAAGTGGTAGAGATGGACTGGTGCTTAGGTCTTTTATCAAGAAGGCATCCACTGATGCATAGGAGTGTAGTGTTTACAGTAACTGAGCATGCCACATGGAAAGCCATGATTCTACAAAAAGCCATGGGACTGACAGAGGTGACAAGAGAAGACATCCTGGGTGCTCTGCCTCTCAATTCCCAGGTCTCTGCTTTTCTAGAAGCAGAACAGAAGCAATCTTGTCTGAGGGGGATGGGGCAAAGAAAGGAAGGAGTTACTCCACCAGGAGAACTGACAGAGTACCTGCAGCTCTATCTTGTGAATGTGCATAGCAAGAAGCCTTGAACTGAGAACACCCTGGCTGCCAGAGGGTGGAAGGGACCATGCAAATTGTCAGGATCAACACATTGACAAGAATATTAGGCCTTTGATAAAAAGGGTGACTTCAATTCTGCAACTCATTGGCACTAAAGCAACAGATGCCAAGGGTCACTGGTAGCATGAGGTCATTGGGAAGTTTAACATTTTGCCAACTGTAGGGTTTTTCAGCTCAGCAAAGGGGAATCAGTGAGGCCCCAAGAGCTTTTCTTCCTCCTTGCATTTGTCAGATCTGGGTCAGCCACTCCTTTCCCCCAATTTATCCTGCCAGCAGGTGTCTGAGACAAACTAATCAAAGCCTCTGGTGGTTAAAAATAAATCTCAAGTGTCAGGGAGCCACTTAGTCCAGGAGGATGTGAGTAGGAAGGGGGAGAGCAAGAGCTCCTTCCTGTTGCCTTTTGTCTGCATCAAGAGTTGAGAGGGAACTTGAAAGCCAATCCTCAAAATTTTGTACTGTCCAACCTTCACTCTATCCTTACTACTCATGGTGTGATATCCTGCAGCATGGAGTACACTGAGAGAGATGCAAAACCCCAGGCTTACCTGTTCCTACCAAGTCAGAGTATACCTCCAACAAGCCCTCCCTGTGGCCAGTATTTGCATTTAGATTTGGGAAAGCTTTGCTGAAAGATTTCAGAGTTGTCAAAACCCTGAACAGAGCCTGAACCTGAGGAAGGCACGGACAGTGTAGCAGGGGAATGGACAGTGCTCTTCCCAGCTGTCCCCTTTGTTCATCATTCTTTAGTAACGATGGGGAAAAGCCCCAGTGGAGAACGGCATGTCAGGGTCCATTCCGCTTGATTACAAAACTCACATTAAGTCTAGGCTGTCTACAGTCAGTTATAGGGAGCCCTCACAGCTAGATCAGAGATGGGCTGGCTGGGAACCTGAACTCAGGTGTGTGCCTATTAATTAAAAGATTTTTCTAAGCCTGGTCTGATCGAGTCTGGGGAAGACAACACACAGTGGAGCTGGGGTCCAGCCTTTACTTATGTAAAGTGGAAGCACATGGTTGGGGACATGCTTCTTCTATTTCTCTGTCCATCTGCTTTAGGATGGGAGACAGAGTCCATCCTTCAGGAAGAAAGCATAGGAAGTGTTTTGTAGCCCCAAGCTTTGTAGAACAAACTGTTCTTTTTCTATTAAATAAGCCCTTTTTGTACTCACTGGAGGGTCTGGAGTAGAACCATCTTCAATTAGTGGTCATAGGAAAAGAGCTGCAAACGATCAGTAAGCAGGCATGATCCTCCACTGTAAAGTGGGTGCGAGTGTGCGTGTGTGTGTGTGTGTGTGTGTGTGTGCATGTGTGTGCATGTGTGCACGTGGGTGTACTGGAGGTCAATCCAGGCTCTCCACAAGCTAGGCATGTGATTCACCACTGAACCACACCCACAACCCCTATCCAGTTGTTTTAGGATGAATTTTAATCCAAATCCTCATGCACTTGACTGAAGCCATTTGGTAGGTTTTCCTGAGCACCCACCATGTCCTAGGTTTTCTTACTGCAGCCTGGTCACTAAGAACATTACAGGTCTACAGGCAGTTGAAAGCAAGGGTACCAGTCTTTCCTGTTGAAGCAAGAAATAGGGAGAGGCAGCCTCCGTGATTAGTATGCATGAGAGAGGAGTAATTACCTGCTACTCTTAGAGAAGAAACTCCCATTCTTGATGGCGCCTAATTATGTATTTCTTTGGGAGGATGAGAGGCCAGTCCTCTGGATTTCTGTTTGAGTCTGGGGTCTGCTCTCCTTCTTTCATTAGGAGGGGAAGCACCGGCCGTGCTGACCCGGATGGTGCTTTGGCTTTTTAGTGCCTTGCTTCTAAAGAACAATGAGCTGCCTTAGCCTGTGGCCCAGCATCTCCACACCCCACCCAAGCCCTCATGCATATTCATCCTGCTTCCAAGAGCACAGCGTGGAATATGCAAATTGGCCAGACAGGAGCTGGTTGGCATTTCTATAATAGCTTTGTCTGAAAAAAACCCAGGGACACATGCACCTCTCTCTCTCTCTCTCTCTCTCTCTCTCTCTCTCTCTCTCAGACTGCAATGGAAGATAAGATTGTTGAAATTCAAGGAGGGAAATACAAGGTTGCAAGCAACATGAAAAAAATAAGGAGGCATGTTCTCTTCCATCCCTCCTCTGCCCTGTGTCCCACTCCTCACTTGCTCATGCCTAACCTGACTCAGAACAGGAAAATACATCACAGATCCAAGAAGCAAGTTAGCGGAGGAGCAAGTGTATGTATTCCAATCCACTTCATCCTTTCTCCTCCCACCCCCTTGAACAGAGCCATTTTGTTTTCTCCCCACTAGTGTTGCTGGGTCTGACACTGCCCAAGGGCCCTGGACCCATCATCTGCTCTCAGTTGACTCCTTGTTTTAGTGAGCATCTGTTCTGTGCCAGCTTGTTCAAAGGTTAGTTCCCTCGCCTTTGTACTTCCTCCATCTTCCAGCCTGGTTTTGTCCTTCCCAGAAGTCAGTCCTAAAAGCAAAGTTTCAGGCCTTGACCTCCCAGCAAGAGGGAGAGGATTGCCTTCCTACACAGGTCAGGTGGGAAGTCTAGGCTGTCACTCTCAGCACTGACTATGACTTGGCGTTCAACAGTTCTGGACACACACAGGTCTCTAAATCTCATCATTGCTGCCATCATCAAGGGTTCCACTGAGGGACTCTTGCTCACTCCTCCATCCTAGGCAGCTTCTCCTTCAAAGATCAGCTTTCTACCAAAAGAAAAAGAAAAAAAGAAGCCAAGCATCATGGTACAGGCCTTTAGTCCTAGCACATGGAGGGCAGAGGCAGGGTGATCTCTGTGAGATCATGGCTAGCTTGGTCTATATAATGAGTAATGGGGCTAGAGGGAGACCCTGTCTCAAAATACCCAAACCAGAACAAAATGAAGATTAGCTTCCTTCCTGACCACTCTCCCACCCCCTCACACATACCTTACCTCTGTCCTCAGCAGGGCTCTGTGGAAAGCAGTTTCCTAGATTCAGAGGACATGGGTCATGCCTTTCCCTAAGGGGATGCTGCTGTGGGGAGGCTGGCTGAAGCTGCAGCCCATATCTCTGAGTACTATTTCACCCGAAGGCCTTTTCAGGGGACAGTGAAGGCAGTTCAGGGAGCAGGCACTTCCTAGGACTTTAGGGATAAAGAGGTCACCTCTCTTGACACTGAAGGCTGGTCCTGGTCAAGCCATGGTTTAGGGAGGCAGATTATCTCATACAAGGGATATGGGTTTTGACCTTGGATTCACATCCCAGCCAGGCTACATATTAAGTCAAAAATTTTTTTTCAGGGCTGGGATTGAGCCCAGGATTTCACATACACTATTTCCTCTACTACCATACTACATGCCTAGCCCAAGATAAATATATAAATTTTTACATGAGTTGTTTTTTGGGGGACAGGGTCTCATGTAGTCAAGTCTGGTCTTGAATTGCTGATCTTCCTGTCTCAGCCTCTCCAAGGGCTGGGATTATAGGAATAAGCCACCATGTCTCCAAACTAAACAGTTTTTTTGAGAAAATTAATTTCTCTTAGCTTTATCTTCTTTATTTTAAAAAATAGGAGTACACCTGGGAAATGGCTTAGTGGTTAAAAATGGGAGTGCTAATTTTAATATTATTTCTAGTAATTCTTGCAGGGTAGTTGTGAAAGACTCTGTGTCTAGCATGTATGCTAAATACTCCATAAAGTGACTTTTACTAGTAAATTTTGAGGAGCACAGAGAAAACTTTGGGCCCTGTGGTCTTAAGAGACACAGAAGGTGTGAAAACAAAAAATAACAACAAAAAAAGAAAGGTGCAGCTTGATCTCCTAAATCGGCCTGACACCTACTATAGCCTCATTATATTTGCTGCTATTTATATTTATTC